TTTCACTTGAGCCCCCATCTCCCCCCGTACTTGACTTAAAGCAGTCTGAGAATCATTCCACTGATTCTGACAGTAATGTATCCCATCCCTTAAGTATAGTTAGATGGGCAAGGATTTTACTCTACTGGGCTTTGGGAACTATCTGTTCATATTTATTGGTACAAATCAGACAGATTTGCAAAATTAATATGTTTAAAATTCTATCTCTTTAAAAAAAAGTTATAGTCCTTTCAATTATAGAATGAGTCTGGACAAGTTACACAGTGACTCAAGAACTAAGTCTCATCTTAATTATCATTCCTGGAATAAAGCAAGCAAACACATGCTCACACACTCAAGTCCGTGACCTTGAGATTCTTCCAATATAATATAAAGAAATGCACACAAATGTAGGATAAACCTAAACTAAGATAAAGATCATTTAATCAGATCATGAGTTAAGTCATTACTTATCACCTCTAAAGTGAGTAAGGCAGGAGAATACAGGAGCTATTCTCTAGATGCCTACAGTTTATTTACTTTTTGTTCTTTGCTTATGGACCAAGACAGGAAGTGATCCTGTACAAGTCCACTCATCTGGATAATTTGCAGGCCAATAAAAGCACCATGTTCTGTCCCATCTCACACCTTTAAAGCTATTGCTGTTCAATAGTTTCAATGAACAATGCTGTTCAATCAACATTAACTAATATTTCCATCATATCACATAACTACTATTCTTCAAAAAAAAATTTTATTAATGTTTATTTATTTTTGAGAGAGAGACAGAGCACAAGCAGGGAGGGGGAGAGAGACAGAGAGGGTGGGAGATGCCAAATCCGAAGCAGGCTCCAGGCTCTGAGCATAACTACAATTTCTATTTCGTGATGGGAACATTTCAGATGTACTCTCAGCAACTTCCAAGTGTGTAACACAGTTTTGTGGTCCATAATCACCATGCTGTACATTAGATCACCAGAACTTATTCATCTTTTTAAAAAAAAGTTTATTCACTTTGAGAGAGAGAGAGAGCAAGCAAGCACGAGTGGGGGAGGGACAGAGTGGGAGAGAGAGAAGGAATCCCAAGCAGGCTCTGTGCTGTTCACATGGGCCCGACACCCATGACATGGTGTCGTTGACCTCACGAACCATGACATCATGCCCTGAGCTGAAATCAAGAGTCGGTCACTTATCTGACTGAGCCACCCTGGTGCCACTGTAATATATGGATTTTAAAGAGCATTTAAAGTCCGTAGGTTTGGCCTGGGTTTTAAAGGAGCAAATGGGCAAGACTGCAGGAGGGGCTGGGGAAGCAGAGTATCTCTCAATGGCTACATACCACACCAGAAACCGTGAGGAAGAGGAGAGAAGGCAGCTGACTAGGATGAACTTGAATATTTCCAATCTTCATGAGAAATGGCAGACATGAGGGGCATCTAGATGGCTCAGTCAGTTAAGCATCTGACTTCAGCTCAAGGTCATAATCTTACAGTTTGTGAGTTCGAGCCCCACAGCAGGCTCTGCTGTGCTGACAGCTCAGAGCCTGGAGCCTGCTTCAGATTCTGTGTCTCCCTCTCTCTCTGCCCCTCCTCCACTCATGCTCTCTTTCTCTCTCTCTCTCTCTCTCAAAAATAAATAAGCATTAGAAAAAAAAAGTTTTAAGGAAATAGCAGAGACGATAGTGGGGAGGTGAGGAAAAAACCTTGCCAGGTCATTTCAACTTTAAAATGATATTTTGAAATCTAGATTAGGGCGCCTATGGGTTCCTAAACAAGAGTGGAAACAGTATGTAGCTCTGTGTGAAGAAGTTTTAGATTCTTAATTGAATTTTTATCTTGAAATGAAATTGTTTATTGTAATTTAAATATATAGGAATAAGAGATGCAGATTACATTTCTAAGAGCACCTGTATTTGGAATAAGTATCATCTGCAGTTTGAGATAGCTTTTTAAAAATTTTTAGATTCCAATTGGTAATTCATGTTCCTCTAACAATTTTCACTGATATGTTAGCAGTCATTTATTATTTTTAAAAAATCAAACCCTGTTGATATAAAATGAAGGGATTTTTGTTGTTTTTTTATGTTAACTGGTTATACCGGGGAGCATAAATAAAGAACACAGAGATTAAATAGGAAGGAAATGTTAAGTGAATCGTATTAACCAAGTCCTGGATGTTCTCCATTGACTGTGGAGTCAGACCTTGATAAGGTTCACGTAGGCCAAGAATTAGTAAAAACAAATCTAAATGCCACAAAGGTGACAAGATGGGAAAAGTAATGCCTCCTATTTGTTAATACAGTTTTACCTCTCAAGATGATTGAGTATGTGCTAGGCAATTACACACTTGAATTTCTTAGAAAATCAGATCTTCACAGAAGAAAGATGCTGCTGTTAGCAAATAAGAATTAACAAAAATGACAGCAGCACAATCAGAGTAACATCCTAGTACTGGACATCACGGAAACATGGAAACAGCTTAACTAACACATACATAAGGAAATGTAGAGGCGCCTGGGTGGCTCAGTCGGTGAAGTGTCTGACTTCGGCTCAGATCGTGATCTCACGATGCATGGGTTTGAATCCCGCACTGGCCTCTGTACTGACACCTCAGAGTCTGGAGCCTGCTTCAGATTCTGTCTCCCTCTCTGCCCTTTCCCGCTCGTGCTCTCTCTCTCTCTATCTCTCAAAAATAAATAAACATTAAAAAAATGTTAAAAGAAAAAAAAAAGAAATGCCAACAAAGGAAACGCATTGCAGATCACATTGAAAAACAAAACCCAATAAACAGGAAGGTCTATCTTTGCAAGAACACACATTTGAGCTCCGAATGTTTCAAAAAATGTAAGTAGTGGCTTTTGAAAATGCAGTTCACTCTTCCTTTCCGTGCCGCTAGCCTTCTCGCAGCCATGGTGAACGTTCCTAAAACCCGCCGGACTTTCTGCAAGAAGTGTGGCAAGCACCAACCCCACAAAGTGACACAGTACAAGAAAGGCAAAGATTCTCTTTATGCCCAGGGAAAGCGGCGTTATGACAGGAAGCAGAGTGGCTATGGGGGACAAACTAAGCCGATTTTCCGAAAAAAGGCTAAGACTACAAAGAAGATTGTGCTGAGGCTTGAATGTGTTGAGCCCAACTGCAGATCTAAGAGAATGCTGGCTATTAAGAGATGCGAGCATTTTGAACTGGGAGGAGATAAGAAGAGAAAGGGCCAAGTGATCCAGTTCTAAGCTTCGTATTTTGTTACATTATGAAGACAATAAAATCTTGAGGTTATGTTCACTTAAAAAAAAAAAAAAAAAAAAAAAAGAAAATGCAGTTCAGAAGCCCACTGTAATATACTTTAATACACACTTGCTACTGTGTTGTTTCCTCTTCTTGAGGGCAAAGACCAGTCTTCTATTTGTTTTAGGGTAACTTGTTCTACGAATGTAGCACAAAACAAGCAGACATTTTTAATGAATGTTAACTTGATGAGCAAGCGATGTCTTGCAATATGAGTAGTACATGGTGCTGAACGTCACATGATCACACTTGAGCCAATGGTTCTTGAAGTTCGCTTTATTATACAAGGGCTTTGGATTACAAGCATGTTTCTGGAATGACCTATGCTCGCAAACCCATGTTTTACTATATTCAGAGTTTTCTGGTTTATGATTTTTGATCAATAATAAATATTTTTATATAAATGTTAGACTTTTTCCTATGAAGACAAGAGAATGGTGTCTCATGTCACCAGAGTATGATGTGAGACTGTGTAATAAATGAACTGTTGTTAAGATGAAGAATAGCATGGTAATAATTACAATTAATGAAATTTGTGAAGTAACAAATTTAACAAAGAATCAAAATAGCCTATATACTTAGAATAAGCCCTTACAGAACTTCTACATCTATTCCGGTGCTGCTTCTCAGGACACATTTCTTGCTCCTATTCAGAGAAACTGTCTCTTTCTAAATGTTTTTTTATGAAGGAAACAATGTGCTGATATAACGTAAGAAGTGAAATACTAACTCAGGGTTTACTGATGGAAGAAGTTCATTTAGAAAGGACATATAAATAGAAACAGAGTAGTTACGGCTATAGGAGCCACAGCTGCCCACATGAGCTATGATGCAGAAGGCATTGCTTTGGGCACAGGTTCACGTGAACTCCTTTGAGGGCCCAAGTTTATTGTTCCAGTTGCCCGTTGGCAAGAGATTGCCGGCACTGCCCTCTGCTCCTTGTCTTTTTGATAGCATGCTGACCTGACTGATGACTTCATATCAAGCCCTCATTCTTGGAATGTTCTGTAGAGCGACCGCGTTTGGAATCCCAGTAGCACAGTGCAGCATAATGTATTTCCTAGGTCACGGCTTTGCTGGCACCCAAAAGACAGAGTCATTATTTCAAGGACATGTTTGCTGATTTAGGTGGCAGCGGCTTCCACTAAGATGCCATCACCTCTGAACGCATTTATTCCACCATCAGAGCTGCCCATCACGCACTGAGTCTAAAGATAGCTTTCACCGATGGGCCTCTGGAACCTTTGGTCTTTTTCACATGGCACCGGCTAAAAACTCTAACAACTACAGCTCCTTACATTAGGAGGTTAAGAGTTCCAATTAAGTCTTCTGTTACCAGTATATTTTAAAAGTCTATCATTTGGCTGTCTTCCTTTTTCTTTCCTGTGACTTCTCTAAAGAGAAAAATTAAAAGGAAATAATATGACTCACAAAGACTTATGGATTATGGGGACATGATGTTTTATAATAGTTTTATTCTGGGGGCACCTGGGTGGCTCATTAGGTTAAGCATCTGACTTTGGCTCAGGTCATGATCTCACGGTTTGTGGGTTTGAACCCCGCATCGGGCTCTGTGCTGACAGCTCAGAGCTTGGAGCCTGTTTCTGATTCTGTGTCTCTCTCTCAAAAATAAATAAACATGAAAAAAAAATAGAATAGTTTTATTCTTATCAAGTGTAAAAGTAGGGAGTCGAGACCCTGCCGATGCTGAATCTATTTGCTACTTTGTATTTCTAGATGACCAAGAATGGCACAGTGGAATCTGAAGAAGCCAGCACTCTTACAGTGGATGACATTTCTGACGATGATATTGATTTAGACAACACGGAGGTAGACGAGTACTTCTTTCTACAACCCTTGCCAACAAAAAAACGGAGAGCACTGCTGCGGGCCTCTGGGGTGAAAAAGATTGATGTGGAAGAGAAGCATGAGCTGCGTGCCATCCGCCTATCGAGAGAGGACTGTGGCTGTGACTGCCGAGTGTTCTGTGATCCAGAAACGTGTACCTGCAGCCTGGCAGGCATTAAGTGCCAGGTAAGGGCTTGGATTTCAAGGACTCCAAAGAGGAGACATTATACACCACCCGCCATGTGACATCATGAAGTTTCTCACATACAGAAAAAACTTTGGAGCAAGGCAGTCATATGGTTCAAGAGAGCAATACTAATTCGAGGACATTTATGGGTATACATAAGATGCTGACACATATAAACTACAGTGTGAGATCGACTGTAGCTAAGTCTATCTGAATTATTTCCTCCTGGATTCATTTACTGCACTAAGCTCATTGTGGGTTTTCGCAAGTACTCAGAGAGATCATGACATCTCTGACATCTGAGTTTGTATTTTCTGATCCATCTATGGGGTATAAAAAGATGATAGGTGAGCAGTGGCATACATTGGTGGAAAAATACAAGACTAAGACTTAAGAAAACCGAGTTCTACTCCTGGCTCTGCTTTTCACCAGCTTTATGAAACTGGCGAAGTCAGGTAAACTTTCTGGGCTCGGTTTCCTCGTCTCAAAAGTGAAAGGGCTGGACTAGATCAGAGGTTAGCAAACTATAGTTCACAGGCCTAATCTGGCCTGCCACACCTGCTTGTGTAAGTAACATTTCAGTGAAGCCTGGCCATTTTGTGTTTCTTTGTTTATTTGTTTTGGTGTTGTCCATGACTGCTTTCATGCTTTTAGAGCAGCAGCGAATAGCTGACAGAGACATTGTACAGTCCACAAAGCCTAAGATATTTAATCTCTGGCCCTTTGTTTAAGAAAGGAGAGGAGAGGAGAGAGAGAGGAAGGAAGGAAGGAAAGAAGGAAGGAAGGAAGGAAGGAAGGAAGGAAGGAAGGAAGGAAGGAAGGAAGGAAGGAAGGAAGGAAGGAGGGAGGGAGGGAGGGAGGAGGGAAGAAGGAAGAGAAGAAAGAGAAGAGGAGGGGAGGGGAGAGGAGAGAAGAGAAGAGAAGTTTACCAGTCCCTGGACTAGGTTTTCAAGTCCCCATACATCTATATCATCGATGCCCCATAATTAGGTGTCTTTATTTTATGCGGAAACTTGGCTTTTTGGATCAGGACAGCCACTCTCGCAGGCAAAAAGAGAGGAGTCGTCGTCAGCTAAACAGTTGCTTGGGGTGGATTCATAGAAAAGAAATCCATGAGTGAGAAAACAACTATAGAGTCTGGCTCTGGCCTCTGCCGCTCGTTTTTCCTGAGTCCAGGACGGCCGTGCAGGAGTCTGCCTTCTCCTCTGCAGTAAAGGAGATGCCCGGCCTCTGGAGAAGGGGCAAGCAGGGCCAGTTCTTTCTGGGCGCCTGTGCTCCGATCTGCATACCAGTTCATTGGCAAAACCTGTTAGCGAATTAGCGAATATCTTGGGAGTGCCCTTGGATTGCTGAGAATTCCGCCTATCACTTAAGTGACGAGTTTGGTCCAGTGACACTCGCTGAACTCAAAACACTCCAGCAACAGGGTCCAATCTCTCTAATTCTGGGATATTGATTACCTGGACATCCCTTTCCCTCAAGAAGCTTATAGTCTACCAGAGTGGGGAAGGGCAGAGGAGAGGCAGGACCTAAGTGCACGGGGCCACTAGTCAGAGTGATAAATGTGTGTACCTGTCACAGCCCCGCAGTCTACATGCGTGCACCGTGTACCAGGGATCCAAACAAACGAGAAGAAAAAACAAGGAAAACGAATTCTCAGGCTGCATGATACTAAGTGGTGTCAGTCTGGACGGCTCTGGCACAAAAAAAAAAAGTGCATTTTATAATAAGCAAAAAAGAGGAGGGTGGCAAGTATGGAAAATGTCATATCATTTAGATTAAAGACAGCACGTAGGGATGGGTGCGGGAAGTTCGTGTAGCTTAAACTGCGCGTGTGAGCCGGCAGGTGGTAGACGTGAGGGGAGCTTGGGGAAAGGATGGACTTTGAAGAACTAGGAGCAAAAACAGGATCAAGAGAAGGGAGGGGGGGGCAGAATGGAGACGAGAAGAGAGCGTGGCTCGAGTCGATGAACCGAAACTCCACACTTAAGCAGCCATAACACATTCCTATTTTGAATCTAGGTTTTAAAGCTGTAGGTTGGGGCGCCTGGGTGGCTTAGTCGGTTAAGCGTCCGACTTTCGCTTAGGTCATGATCTCGCGGTTCGTGGGTTCGAGCCCCGCGTCGGGCTCTGTGCTGACTGCCAGCTCGGAGCCTGGAGCCTGCTTCAGTCTGTGACTCCCTCTCTCTCTGACCCTCCCCTGCTCACGCTGTCTCTCTCTCTCTCTCTCTCCTAGAAATAAATAAAACATTAAAAAATTTAAAATAAATAAATAAATAAATAAAAATAAAGCTGTAGGTTAAGCGTCACGTTTGAAGTCTTCGCTTCCCCTTTGCAGGGCCTCTTTGCAGCTCGACTGTCATGACAAATGACACGTGGGACTGGGCAACCCCAGATGCGAAGGGGCTGTCTGTCGCCCAGAGGTGCCGGGCTGTTTCTTACTGGGTTTGCCGGAGTCCCGCGGGCTAACCTGTGCTCTTCCTTCCAAGGTGGATCGAATGTCTTTCCCGTGTGGCTGCACTAAAGAAGGATGTAGTAACACAGCAGGGAGAATCGAATTTAATCCTATCCGCGTCCGGACTCACTTTTTGCACACCATAATGAAACTCGAACTGGAGAAAAGCCGGGAGCAGCAGACGCCCGCGCTGAGCGGCGGCCACGGCGAGGCCGGCGCGCCCGGCGGCTCGGTGGGCCCCGTGGCGCACTCGGTCGAGTACTCCATCGCCGACAACTTCGAGATCGACGCGGAGCCGCAGGCCGCCGTGCTGCACCTGCAGTCGGCCGAGGAGCTGGACTGCCCGGGGGGGGACGACGACGACGACGACGACGACGACGGCAGCAGCTTCTGCAGCGGCGCCACCGACTCCAGCACGCAGAGCCTGGCGCCCAGCGAGTCCGACGACGACGACGACGACGACGACGACGACGAGGAGGACGACGACGACGACAAAGGGGACGGCTTCGTGGAAGGCTTGGGGACCCGCGCGGAGGTCGTGCCGCTGCCCTCCGTCCTCTGCTACTCCGACGGCAGCGCCGTTCGCGAGGGCCCCGCGAAGAGCGCCTCCTTCTACGCCAGCTCTCCGACGCTGTACTACCAAATAGACAGCCACCTGCCGGGAGCGCCGCCCCCGGTGTCTGACGGCTACGCCGAGAGAGACGCCGTGAAGGGCGCCGCCCTGTCGCTGGTGCCTTACACCATGACCCCGGAGCAGTTCGCCGACTACGCCAGGCAGGCGGAGGAGGCCTACGGCGCGGCGCCCTACCCCGCCGCCAGCCCGTCGGTCATCGTGTGCTGCTCGTCCGCCGACGGCGACGGCGGCGCGCCCTGCGCTGGCCTCTACCCCGAGCCCAGGTCCGGCCATGCGCAGGTGGACTTCCACTCCTACTTGAAAGGCCCCTCCCAGGAAGGCTTTGTGTCTACGCTGAATGGGGACGGCCACATTGCCGAGCACCCCGCGGAAAGTGCTTTGAGCCGGGCGGAGAAGAGCAGACTGCATGACGAGTGCATCAAACCCCCCGTGGTCGAGACGGTCCCCGTCTAGAAGCGCCCGGGACTCTAGGACCCGCCCCTCGTCCCCTCTTGAGAAGCACTGTCGTTAATCGGCTTTCCTGGGGCCCCTGGGTGTTTCAACGCAGGACCAAGAAAACCTGGACTGTGGGGAACCTTCCAGGCTGTATTTTGCTTTCTCCTTTTACAGCTGCACGACTGTGGCGTTGCACAAATACAGTCTCTATGAGGATTTTAAAAGATTTCGGACTGTTTTGATAGAAAATGCTAATTTAAAAAAAAAAAAAAAAAGCGTAGCTCACAGTTGCCTACCTGTCAAACTGTGTGAAACCTGCCAAGCTGTGTCGATCAGAGCTCCAAGTTTTGGACTCTCGGGCCTGTGCAAGATTGTTAGCTAAGACTGGGAAATAATAAGATTTAGAGTCCTAATTTTCGATAAATCTGAAGATGACGGTGACTTTTTAATGTAAAAGTAATTATCGTAAGACAGAGATTTACTCGTTCCATGTGTATTTTATTTATGGTAGTTAGAAGTCATGTTTTGATGAAAATGAGCAGCAGCATGTTCTTTTAAGCTGAAGATACATAGTTAGTTCCACCGAGCATGCCCACATGGATTGCATCTGGAATCCATTCACGTTTTTATGATCATGACTGATCAGATTTGCAAATACTTTCTTAAGGGTGAAATAGGCCTATTTTTGCTATTTTGGACAAATAAATGAGTCTATATGTGCAGGTCCTTACACAGTTTTCTCTAAAGTTAAGAGTTAGGACAATCCTCTGGTGAGGGTCTAGTTCACTGCCCTCCCTCAGTTGACTCCAGAGATGGAGGTAGAAGGAATTGCCTTTCTTTTTTAAACAGCATCATCTTGGTTCTTAGCTTGGACACAGCACCTTTAAACTCTACTCCCCTACATCAAAATGCACTTTAGTGCCCCTTCATGGTACCTTGTGAGAGGTGGGGACTGAGAACTCTTTGAGATGAAAAATTTTAAAAAAATTTTTTAATCTGTAACTATTATAAGGTTCATAGAAATAATATAGAGGAATCATCCAATGGTAACTTTATGAAGGGAAAATGACCTATTTTCCTTCGCCACTCTGAAGACCGAATCCGGTAAAAGCAGAGGAGGCAGAGGAAACATGGAAGAGACACATCCTCAGCAACCAGCCTTTTCTACAGCATGATCAATCCGTCTCTACAAAATGAGTATGTAAGGAGATTTCCTTTTAGTGACTAGCCGATCGAAAGGGGGGGGTGGGGGGGCCTCTACCCAAATACTCAACTAGGCCTTACTTTTCCGAAGCATTTTGATTTCTCTTGCCTGAGACAATTAGCAGAACAGTCCAGAATGCATTGAATACTTTCTAATTACCTCACGTTCTCTTATTAAAGGGGACAGATCGACATAAAACATGCACTCCCCACCTTTAGATTATCTGCACTTGGTTCGTCGGAGGACTTCTAAGATCCCGTTTTCCTGTACATTGATTTAGGTAACTAAATAGTGTGTTCTACCATTTGTTTTTCCCACTGCAGTATGACTATTTTTTGACCTTCTGTTGTTACACCATTTCACGTTTGATGCCTCTTGGCAATGTGGACATGCCTTGCTATTCAGTGACTGCATCGCTAATTTTTATGTCTTATAGACTTAGATGTTTAGAAATATGGATATAAATATATTGTAGATCTTGATTCCTTAAAAAATACTATTTTATTTAATTGAACTTAAAAGTGTTTGATCCAGAGAAAGTCCTCCAATGGAAAGGTTCCTACTAAAACTTGATTTGGGGAAAACATGTTGACTTGGCAGCTCTTCCGCTGTGCAGTTGGCTCCTGCCCTCTCGCGCCCCCACCACAGGGCCAAATTTATAACCATGAAGAGTCACATTAAAGGAACTTTGGGTTTGTTCTTCAGAAGTAGCGGTAATGAGAGCTGGAATTTTCCTTTTGAATGATAAGCCCTTTGGGCTAATCAGATTGAGGGTTAGCCCAAATCTCGGTCATCTATCTCATGTTGTCTACAAAGTTACACTTTTTAGTGCTTGATTTCCAAACCTGTTTCCTTTACCAACTCAATCTAAAGAGCACCAGCCCAAAGAAAAATGACAAAAGGCTATTGTTCTTCATTTAGGCATGTGAAAAAAAAATCACACGGTGCCGTATTTGCTGGGCCCTACAAGCCCTTGAAGTATTTACCCATGAAACAGTCATCTTATTCTTGGAACGCAGACTGTGGCAGAATGGGGGGGAACGTGACTCTGGGTGGGGCAAAGGCGAAGGGTAGAATGCAATCCAGTTTCTGAAAGGATATATATTTAATTTAGTTCAGCTTTATATTCACGGGAAGGTCGACGCCTACTTGTTTATGTTTGGCTAGGTCTCTTTTGTAGCTCCATTTCCAAAAGGATGTTTACCCTTGAAACGGGCAAATAAAGAAATCAGAGCTTTCTCCCTTTTTTTCCAATTGGGGTTGAAAGTCACTGTGCTCAGAGGGGTTAACCTTCCAAGCATGAGTTCCATTCCAAATTTACATATATGTATAACTTAACCCCTAAACATCTCCCACAAACTACATACACAAATTATCTACTGAAACACTCCCGTGTAACACAAACACACGCACACGCATGCACACACACACGCACACACACACGATGTATATCACACATTGGAATGAGATTTTAGGCATGGTCGATAATGAATACTGTATGTTTTCCCCACCCTGGAATCTGATTGGGTTTTATGATCTAAAAATAAGGTCTAGGAAAGAGGATGATTTGTAAAGCTGTAGTTTGAAACTGTTGGGTCAAAGTTGCATATAATACTAATGATGGAATCGGTTCATTGTTACTTCCTTTCCCAGAAAAGCTGAGAGAGCACAGTGTTCCATCTGACTTTTATTTTTCCATTAATAGCCCTTCTATTCAACAAAAACTGCCCACATGCCAGGAGAGCGCTACCGTTTTTTCTAAGCTTTTTGAAACGGGGATCAAGCTAGATGCAGCCGCTTGGGATACTTAAGATCTTTATACTAAAACACAATGACACCTGACCTTCAGCTGTTGTATTCGCCCCGTAGTTTGTCTAACCAAATTATTGTCTTTTTTTGACACACAGCTTTTTAGTTGTTCCCTGCCAATGGCTTTGGTCCCTGTTGTTTTAGCACCAGCCCTATACTTTTTATTAGGGCTTATTCCCAGTTATAATTCTGGCCAGACTGATTTGCAAATCAAGTGGCTGGAGCAGCTTGCATTTCCTTTGTCATTCTAGGTTTCCTTGGGGAAAAAGAAGTCAATGAAAGAGATTTACCTCAATTCCCCACCCCCATCTCTTAATCCTTGATTATTAAGATATAAGTAAAATTTGTTCGATTCATGCCTTTTGTTAATTGAAGACTAATTTAAACACTAGTCTTTTCTTTGTGATAAAACTATATTTTCCCAGTGTTCCAGCAACATATAAAACGTGAAATTAATATTTATTAGAGTCATAAAATCTTCACAATCATATATGGCCCAGCAACAACCCCCACCCCCTAAAAAACATGAATTATAGAACCAGTGGCCACAAAATAATCAAGAAGCAAAGAGATTATACGTGGTTCTTTATATTTTTGCACTCTGACAGATGACTTGTAGGCAACATTCTGGTTTGGTTAACACTAAACAGGAAAATGCATCATGATTTATTTCCTATAAGTTTGATACATCATTGGCTCTTTGATTTAACTTCTGATATTCTACAAATTTATAATCCTTTGGTCTTAATATTTAGAATTTACTAAGTATCAACTCTGCCTTTCAACAAATATTTATAGAACACCGACAGAGGAAGTGCTCTAAGTGGTAAAAACAGGAGGTAAAACAGTACACATTCTAAGAGATTATGATGATGAAGAGGAGTGGCATGAAATAACCAAGCCTCACTGTAATTCTTTTAACGTGTGATTTTATAATGCGATCTTAGAAAAAGGGACATGAATCCTTGTCTAATGGTATGCAAACTGTAACTAAAAGGATACTTCTTTCTCCTAAATTAATGGAACTCACTGGATGATCTTTTTTCCTCTCCCCCTATCCAAAATTTCTGAATTAGAGTTTGCTGGTATAAAATTAGCATCACTAATATAGATCTAACACTGAAGAAGCAATTAGCTGAAAATCTCTTTTCCATTCGATTCAGTTCTTCTAGCAAACTCTTACCAGACAGTTTCAAGAGTTGGTTGACTCATACATAAACCAGGAAACATTTCAGGAAAACTTTGAGACAATGATGTAGAACACAATCACTTTTACTTTTATTTATATACAGCCTAAAAATTTAGCAAAACCATAGTTCCAAATTCCAAAGGCATCGCCTTGTAGCCTGTAGACAAAAGAGGTCCTTCAACCTACCTCATTTGTCGCTGAGGTTACAAAACCATCGATAGGAGGTGGAAAATGGAATTCAGACAGAGACTGCTTTTTTGAAAGGTACCATGAAACCTTCCATTTCTCCAAATATGACTTAATCATTCTCTTTAAAAATGACATCTGCTCCTTATTCTCTCAAAGAAGAGTCATTACTGTAGGCAGTGTATAAAATACCAACCTTAATAGGGAAGTACCTTCTTGCTCTCAAAGGCAAGACTTGGCTGTAATTTTAAACCAGAGCTATCTTCTATGTATTCTTACCGCAACCAACACGGAAAGTTTAAAGCCTTAATCACTCTTAGTTCTAACACAAATTCGCAACCTCTGATTACATTATTCTTTCTGAGACCTGCTAACTTGTGCTCAAGTAACTTAAATGCCTAAGCCAAATACCACAGTTTTGCACAGATACCACCGCTCAACAGATGTTTTCTGTAGCATTCAACCATTTAATTGACTTAATTTAATGGAATATCAGCAATTTAAAAACCCACTAAAATGATGAAAGTGTCAGGGTGGGGTGCGGATGGAATATAAGTGTAGTAAGTGGTAGTGTCTCCCAGGAACCATAAAGTTTCAGCAAAGCTGAACAGCTAGAATTTTAACCAGAGAAACTAGATTCACAAATGGCAGCCTGAAAACTAGAAGGGACAGTGACAGTGTGGAAACTCAGAGCCCAGTTGGTGTTCATGTGGGCTGCCCATCATC